ATGATGGAAAACGCAGGATGATCTTTGTGACGTGTTGCGACACTAGTTAGGTTTCGAGCTTGGCTTCTTTTATCCTCTCTCCTCCATCGATCTTAATTCGCGAAAATGTCACCCGATTATTTCGTACTCGTATTTTAGCGTACGGTAGTATAATTTTTTTATTTCTCGTAGATTTTTTTATTATCTCGCAGATTTTCAATCCGACCATAACGGAACGAATTACAGCGGATATCGAAAGAATATCGTGTTGCGACGTGTGCGTTCGCGAAAATGCTGATCTCATCAAAAAGATAAAAACGATAGCGTCAATTGCGACGTCCGAAACCTGGAGAAAGATAATCACGATCCGTCGCACGTGTCCCGAAAATTGATCGGGAAAATCGACCGATTTCAACGATCGTATATGTATTATTTCAGCAGCGATTTGTTGAGACCGGTCACATCGCTACCACTGCCGATAACTCGTTAAGTAGATGCCACGCTTCATTTTTCGCAAGCTGGCTTATTTGCGCGAACCTAGTCTCCGTTTCCCCGTCCCGTAATTCTCGCGAATTAACACGCAGAGTGCCAGCTGACGATTTGCTAATTTTGCGTGCAAAGATATCGCGCATCACCGATTATACTCTATATAATGCGGAGACACTTAAGTGCGTTATATATATATAAATATAAAATACATGACAGTAATTGAATATCCTATATGCGCACAAATGTCTTCGCTTTAATCGGCGAGATATCTTATCGGAAGAACGTTTAATGTCTAGATATTTGTTACTTACCGTTACATTACGACTCGTGATGAAGAAAATGAAAGGTATACATTTCAAAGATAATGAACGATCAAAGATTACACGCATGCGACTCCATTATGAGTAATAATCTATTATTGACAATTTTATTCAAGTTTATCTCAAGTTTATTTTCTAAATTCTATAGAATGGAATCTTACTTTAAAAAAGTGAGGAAATTGAACCAGTTCTGAAAAAAGTCTCTTCAGAGTGACAATTCACTTTAAAAGCTTTAGATAATACATTTTTAGAGTATATTCTAATTGAAGATAAACATTCTTATTTACGGGGAGGAAAGTTTTTGGTTCTTGTGACTACAATTGCATGATAAAGTAGTTATTGTTATATTAAGAGTTCTAATCAAAATAACATAAACTTACAAACAACATAAAATTACAGTAATTTTCGAACACGACCATATGTATTTCTTTTCAGCATATAAAACTATAAATGTATAATTATTTCAAGAATGGATCTGGACACGGAGGAAAGCCGCGAAACGCATAACTTTTATCATGTAATTATTATTACTAACATTATGACAGTGAAAAT